AAACAAACAACAATATTGTATATTGTATAATATTGTATAAATGTAACTGTATTTTACAAAATACTAGTCCTCTAAAACACAGCCAAGACAGGTAATTTTATAAAGATTAAAGGTCAGTTTATAATATATTATATATTATATTATATGATATTTTAACATGAGTACAAGTGCGGTGTGTTATTGTAACTTCTGTATTGTTAGGCAGGCACAGCTGTAAGGTCAATATAATAAAAATAATAAATGTATAATGTTATGAGATTTAAGTTATTCAGCCTAAACATTTATGTTTTCATGTTATAATTTGTAGTCATTCTAGAACGACAAAAGCATAATTTATATATATTTTCTAATTTTTATGGTGGTTACGAGATCGGTCAAATGGATCGAACCCGTACATATTTTCGTTAGTAAAAATAACATATAAAATATAAAGTTTTCTTAAGAAACGTTTGATAACTATCTAGATATTATTAAGATTTCGCAAGTGAAATTTGAAAATTTCTGATGCACAAAAGTATTTTTAATCTTAAAATGAAAATTACTTTGCATGTTGTTATGCTGGCTGCGAGGCTGTATGGTTTAATGGGAAGCACGTCAAGTAAAAAATAATTATTATCACAAATCTTATACACGAAACAGCTACATGATTCCTTATTAAGATTTTCGATGGCAAACAATTAAAATTAAGTCGATTATTGGTTTTTGTTTTACGGAAATATTGCAATAAATTAAGCATAATAATGATATAAATATCGAAATCATACTGTATCTTTTAACCAAATAAAATAATTCAGAATCTTGTTTGTTTGAATTTCGCGCAAAGCTACACAAAATATATCTACTTTAGCCGTCTCTAATTTAGCAGTGTAAGACTAGAGGGAAGGCAGCTAGTCATCACCACCCACCGCCAATTCTTGGGCTACTCTTTTACCAATGAATAGTGGGATTGACTGTCACATTATAACACCCCCACGTTTGAAAGGGCGAGCATGTTTGATGGGATGAAGATTCGAACCCGCAGATTGCGAATCGAGTGCCTTAACCACCTGGCCATACCGGGCCTTTCAGAATCTTCTACATGAAGATTAGGGCCTCTTGAAGCTGAATGCGGATTTATGGTCGCTGCAACGGTCCTTATTGATTATTGTATAAAATAGTAACATCTTTTTCTTATTTCACTGGAAATTAAAATTTCATGTTATTTGTTACAGACGAGATCTTGAGGTCTAATGGTTATGTCTGGGAAGATATCTGAACACACAACATGAGAAGCGGAAAATCACTTCGTATGTTGGATGGAATAACAATAGTGGAAATAGTTTTAAAAATTCATTAAAAATTTTGCTATTATCTTTATTCTTTGTTAAACTACTCTTATCACTTCCTCCTCATATTACTTGAATATTGCTTTATTAGTATTGTTACGTCTCCGTTTGTTAATTGATTTTCCGTAACTTCGTTGCGACGAAACTTAAGCGACACAAGTTCTTTCTTAATAAAAACTGGTTTATTCTTTCCGAATACACCTTTACCGATACACTCAACTTCAACAATCGCGCTAAACAAAAGCTATAACGACGAACGTGCTCAATAATACTTCTGACTTCAGATCAATTACTCACTATCTACGCACACATTACCTTCCCCTTTTTTATATACCAGCCTACCCTATCTAGCAAATACTAGAGCATTCCTGAAAGAACAAGATAGTTCTAGAAACTAGAGGGCGCCACACCAGTCACGTGACCTCGATGACGCAACAGTATTATTATTTAGCCTTATAACATTTCAAATTATCTTTCTTCAACTTTCACTGTCTTTTAGACTAGAACAGCTGCACTAAACTAATTTAGCATTGAATTTTTTTCGCCTACGTCTACTTGTGACATTGAAGTGAAACAAAAAAAAAACAAATAAAATTAATTAATAGAACATGAAAGTAAATAAATAATTCAATAATTTGAAGCTTCATTTATTCAGTAAAATTGGTTAACGCAGGAAATTTTATTTTAATCAAACTCTGTATCCAGGAAAGGTGATCATTCTTCTATTGAATGCTAAAACATTATATATTTTAAAGCCGAATATCGTTAAATTTGAGAAATTAAAAATGCATATATTACTTTTGTTGTAAATAGAAACTACTATACATGAAGCCCTGAAAATTACAACAAACTCCACGATCCACGCATCCAGTCTAAGAAAACAGGTTCACCCTCCACGTTTATGAAAGTTATCACAACTTCAAAAAATACAGCAGATTTCATCCGCACCCACGGCTGCTTCTTGATTATCATCACTTCAAGGCAGAAAAACCTTATCGCAAGCCTCACCCACCCCATACCTTTCCTAACCCACCCCCAAGCCCACGTTTCACAACACCCAGAAGATAACTGCCGCCAACCAGTACTCTACCGCACATACTAATACAACAGACCAAGCTACTCAAACCTCACCCACTCCTGAAACACAAGATATGTCTACCCAAACCACCACTACCAGGAGGAAAAAAGGCACCCAGACCCAGCCACCATTTACCATCGACGCCTATCAACAAACCAACAACACGCCTCCCAGCCCCAAGCCACTTTCTACATCATCGGCGTCAAACTCACCGAACGCCTTAGTAATCGACACCTCCTCCGATCTCTACCTACCCGACGAACCTTTCTCAGTCTTCCGCTCACTCACCAACGACACCGAGAACTCCACGCCTTTACCACCTCCCTGGAACCAGAAACTGTGCCAATTTGAAACCTTGATAAACTCCAGGAGACTCCACAACAGTTTCAAAAACTAATCAATCCCAGCACCGGACTTCACTTTGCCTTCCCTACTTACTTCTTCTCATTAATCGGGCACTGGTGTAACCAATCACTCGTTACCAGTGAAAGGGGGTTTTCTCGGGGTACTCCCGTTTCCCCCACATTAAACTCTCGGCATAAGATTTTTACATCCCCGCCGCCCTTATGGACCATCTGTCCGATATCGGCCGTTTAGTTTAGTTTACCTTGCTCTTCACTTTTTATTGTCTACAGTTACTCTCTCTTTACCTTTCTAAAACTACATACCTCGTCTGCATTAATTTCCTATTTTCTCAAGTTAAGCCCATATTCCTAGACCACGAGCGGGGTGAAGGAGGGTTGTTTAGTCTTCGAGCACCCCAGATTAGTAATTATTTCTTCGGAAATAATTATTTTTAAATCTAAATAACTGCCAGGGAAAACGAGAAACTACTATAAAAATTTATGTTACTGCCGTTAGATGGGGCGTTTTAATACAGGCTTGTAAATGCAGCACATGGTCGTTACAGTCTTTCAGTAAAAAATTAACTCTTTTTGAAGTTTAAAGTTGATAATCATAAAGGTATTATGTTATTTCAAGTATTTAATGATTATCGGGTATTTTTAGCAGAATAAGGTTATCAAATATTTAATGTAATAAAGTAAACATTTCGTAATACAAAAATATTAATTAATTATACTATTAGTATTAATTCTATGAAGTATTCTCAGAATTCTCAGAATTTGTTTCATTTTTAAGTAAAATTTTCTGTGTTTTTAAAAGGAGAATAAGGTCAACCTTTTCTGCTTTTCATGAGACTTCGTGATGTATTAATCAAACACATTGGACTGACTGTGTATTGGAGAAGGAATATTAACTATAATTCGAAATTTATTACATGTAACTACATTGTATTTGTAGACAGGCCAGGTGGTTAGGACGCTCGACTTGCAATCTGAAGGTCGTGGATTCGAATCCCTGTCCCACCAAATATGCTTGCCCTTTCAAACGTGGGGGTATTATAATGGAACAGTCAGTCCCACTATTCGTTGGTAAAAGAGTAGCCCAAGAGTTGGCAGTGGGTGGTGATGACTAGCTGCCTTCCCTCTACTCTTACACGGCTAAATTAGGGATGGCTAGCGCAGACAGCCCTTGTGTAGCATTGTGCGAAATTCAAAACAAACAAACTATTGTAGACTAAAAACCAGATGAGTAACAAAGGTATTTTTGAGGTTGGTGTGCTGTCACAGTCATGTGATTTTGCCTGTTACGCGATCAGCATCTTGACAAAGGGGCAAACAATAGTGAAGCAACTACAGCTGCGTGTACTCAATTTATATAGGTCTACCATATACATTTGTTACTTTTGAAGCTGCTGTGCAAATTCTTCAATTATTGTTCAGATATTATTGTTTAAAAGTCTAATTATCAATTGCAATGTGTTATCAATACTAGGATAAGTTGTCAGACGAGACATTGGCGAGATATCGAGTAAAGTTACAATTAATTGGGTTTTATTCTTGTCCCTAGCAGCACCCTGCTGACTCGTGGATCAATGACCCGACAGAATGGCCAAGCGTGCAGTAACCAGACTAATACAATTATCTTGTGTTTAAAAAAAATTGGAATACAACATTTACATGATATAAAATTAGCTGAACACACACAGTTATAGTTAGACTTTGACTCTCACAGCTTTCCTATTGCTTTCTGTGTTTTGTTGTTGATAGCTTTCAGCCACAACACTGTTCTCTCCTTTTCAGTAGCTTGTTTTTGTGGGAAAACATGCACTAAAAAATAAACTACCAGGTTGAACTAGATTTTAAAACAATTATCAACAAATTGTCTTAAGACTATTCTAGGCTAGGAATAGAATCCCACAAATATTTGCTTTATGCTTACTATTAAGGTGAGCTGGAGGATTGGGTATCAAATATTTGTTTACCCCTTTGCCTTGGTTGCTATGCATATATTGCATTGTTGGAGGACAAAGTTTGTGTAAAGAATAAAAATACTTTTGGTTATTGTATAGTTGCATAACCTTAAGAATCTGCAAAATGCATATATACAGTTTTTCATTTTCCATATATATATTGTATCTGGCATTTACTTTGCTTTACTATGAACTGTTGCTAAATCAGCAATATAGGATAAACTGAATACTTTACAACTGACATCAAGTACATAATACCATGTTGAATGGCACTATGGAAAAGATCATGGCATGCACACTTTGATTCTCGCCTGTGTGCATAGGGTTAAGCAATCTTCTGAAAGGATTTTTTTTTATAAATTTAAGTTGTTTTTCTAAATGATGATTAAGAAGAATCTATATTGAAGTCAGATCTTCCATATTTCAAATGATTAAGCTGCTATATTATATATATATATATATATATATATATATATATATATATTAGAGAACAAAGACGAGACGTAGGACACATACTAGTTTTCTTTTTGTTTTTTTTCTTGTATTTTCTTTTAGAACTAAGTATTATTAATAA